GGGGGGGGGGGGGGGGGGGAGCTGCCTGTCTGTCTGCTTGCGCTGGCACCACGTTTCATCTTGTGTATCTAGATATCGTTGTTTTGGAGCGTGCCGCCTCGTAAAGTTGTTTCCACCTGTTGTGTTGTTCGTCTTACTTGTTGCGTTTGTTGTGTTGTTTGTTCCACCTGTTGTTCAGTTTGCCCGCGTGTGTCTTGTGCCCTTACTTTTAACTTCCTGCTTGGTGCGCAGGTCGGACTGACGGTTTTTACACGGGACACTAAAATACTATTTTACACTACGCAATCAATCATTTTTGTCACGTAATGTTTTCTTTTGGACACGACAACCAACTCGGAATGGAGAGACACATGGGGGTTTTGCACGGGGGCCCGAGCCCTCTCGAGCTTCAGCGTCGCCAATGCCCACCTTGCTCGTGTCTCACCGTATTTTGTTGCCCCGCCTTCCCGTGCTGCTGTCCTGCCGTGTGTTGCCCCGCCCACGCGTCCACAGGGTCAAGTGGTGGCAAGGCCCATGATGTACCTCGCCCTCACCTACGACCACCGGCTCATCGACGGCCGGGAGGCGGTGACGTTCCTCAAGTCGGTTGCCCTTAAGGTCCAGGACCCGACGCGCCTGCTGCTAGACCTATGAGTGCACCAACTCCAGCGGAGAGTTTCCTTTTTGTTTTTTTCCCGTGTTAACTGGCGCCAGAATAGATGGGACGAGCAAACACGCACCTTTCCGATGTAAGCAGAGTATAGTTTTTGTCCTTTTTTGGGGGCACATTAGGTCGAAAGCTCTGGAAGTGACGTGGATCTGTGTGATGAGCAATCACTCGAGTATATCGGCGGCCCTCAAGGGGGCAACGCAGATGTGCTTTGTTTGGTCGCGGCAGCGCGGGGGGAGGGGGTTTGCACGACATACGTCGGGCGCGGGACCTGAAAAGGGTTACCATAAAACTAATTGCAGTTTCATTTTTCTAGATGCAGATATTTTTGGAGGCAGGATGGTCCTGGTAGGGTCATCATGTGTTGTATGTCGCACTGGGTTGGGTTCTGTGTCGTAGTGGTGGTGGTGACGGCTATGAAAAAGGTGTCGGCGGCCGGCACGCCGACTTCAACAGTTGCCGTAAATCTCTCATATGAAAAGTTGGTAGCCTCACTACCAGGTCGAAAGAGTTGGCGAGACTAGGCTAGCTTCACGAGCGAAGCAAGGGACGGAGGGGAGATTCACGTCGTGGACTACAATACTGATTTGGAGTTTCCCTTTCGCCAATGACCCGGCCAGTCGTTGGGGGGAGAGAAACTTAGATGATGTACATACGCGAGGCAGGAAATCCAGGGAAATATGGACCTGTTTCAATTCATTAGACTACACGCATAGTCTACATGTCGACGGCGCGAGAAAGTGCCACCAACTACAACGGCTGCGGTGTGTTGGACAGCGATCGGTTAATAATGCTCTGCAGGCATGCTCGCTGCCTCGGCACAAAACGGTTTCATGACCTGGGCGCGAAACGCTGGGACACGTCCATGGCGACAGCGGCGAGGAAACTACTGTTGTCTCGGTGTCTCTGGAGGTCAGCCAGTCTACAGCTGCCGACGTCTTCTCGCCCGCAAATCTGCGTTTCCGTTTTTTTGCCTTGAAACGAATTAGTCTACTCGGAGTCAAACGGCACTGCCATCTGCCAAGGGGGCGACGTTGGCGACGCTCCATTTTTCGTCTACTTGTACTGCTGCTGTAGACTACTAAGGAGAGATAAATACACGCACAGAAAGACTACCCATTCGAGATATACCCACAGTCGAACGGGATAGACTATGTACGAAGGTTCGTTCTAAAGTGCAATTTGGACACTTTCCGTGCTCTACTGATGCTGATTACCAACACCAAACATACCAGGAAACCAGCTAACACGATACAAACTGAACGCTATGCCCTACCTATCATGCACCAGGTGTACCATCCTCTTCTACTGTGAACATCACTGATACGCTACCCCAAAGGGTCAAAAAAGTTATTTTGTAAATTCAAAAGACCGGCGTGAAACACCTGCTGCCCTTCAAAAATCTTTAGGTTTGAAAAACGAATGATGTACTGCTGTAGCCTTCTTTCCATCTTCCATGATTTTTACATCAATATTATTTATTTCCCCTTAAATTCCTAAAACCAGCAAGCTGTCAATAGACACTGCGCCGTGTCCCCTGTGAAGGTTACATCTTTCAGCAGTACACGCCACTACGGAGGGATTCTCCCCGGCCCGATATTTTGTCGTTGACCCAGTAGAGAACTTCAGGGGATGTATTGTAAAATGTAGATTTACCTATACAGATGTTTTTGTACTTAGCACCAGCTGGCATCACTGATAAATCATCAGTGTATAGACTTGTTATGACTCGAAATAAGTCCAGTACCCAGCCGGTTTTCCTCCACTTACTGAAATGACTCTACCACATCCCGTTCGACTGTGGGTATATCTCGAATGGGTAGTCTTTTTTTTCTGTGCGTGTATTTATTTCTCCTTAATTTTCCACGGAACGGTGAAAAGAAAACCCGACTTTTTTTCGCTTGTTCTGTAGACTCTTCGTGATGGTCATCGCAAAAAGTACGTTTCCTTCCCGTCCTTCCCTGAATCTACACCCTTTGCTCGGCACACAACAGGTTGACTCGGTGTTGCTCACCATAGAGCAGCGGTGAAAGCGCAATGAGCAGCACCCGATACAGAGGACAACACACTTCGAAAGATCCTATCCACCCGGCCTGCTGTTTTCAGTTTTCAGNTATGACTCGAAATAAGTCCAGTACCCAGCCGGTTTTCCTCCACTTACTGAAATGACTCTACCACATCCCGTTCGACTGTGGGTATATCTCGAATGGGTAGTCTTTTTTTTCTGTGCGTGTATTTATTTCTCCTTAATTTTCCACGGAACGGTGAAAAGAAAACCCGACTTTTTTTCGCTTGTTCTGTAGACTCTTCGTGATGGTCATCGCAAAAAGTACGTTTCCTTCCCGTCCTTCCCTGAATCTACACCCTTTGCTCGGCACACAACAGGTTGACTCGGTGTTGCTCACCATAGAGCAGCGGTGAAAGCGCAATGAGCAGCACCCGATACAGAGGACAACACACTTCGAAAGATCCTATCCACCCGGCCTGCTGTTTTCAGTTTTCAGAAACAACAGGCGCAGGGCAGAGTGTCGCAACCGAGGTGTTGGTTGCGATTTCTTCAGTTTGCCAGCTCATTTTTCACGGTTGCGACTCCCATCTTTGACCACCACCTACCCAAAGGTAGACGAGCTCAACAATCATAGGGCGGCAGTCGCGCTGACTGACGGCCAGCATCATATAGATGGCCAATCCGAAATAATTAGCGTGTCGGAGACCCTGTTGCTCTTCTGCTGCATGGTGCTGTGGATTGATGTTGACGAGTCCTTCCAAGAACAATCATCTCGCCGNTCGCGCTGACTGACGGCCAGCATCATATAGATGGCCAATCCGAAATAATTAGCGTGTCGGAGACCCTGTTGCTCTTCTGCTGCATGGTGCTGTGGATTGATGTTGACGAGTCCTTCCAAGAACAATCATCTCGCCGCATTTTTTCCCGAGGCATTTTGGTGAGGTGGCACACGTCTCTCAGACACCTTATTAAGCAGCACCCAAGCACCCAATACCCACGAAGCAGCACGGCGCCAGGAGATGGTATCATGTAGACAGCCGAACCGAAGGAATCAGCGCGTTGGAGGTCTTACTGCTGCTGCTGTAATACTCGTTCTATTGTTTCCGTGTTTGCTGTGTGTGATACAAAAAAATTCCCCAGCACCACCATCAGCAGCAGCAGCAGCTATTACGGTGGCACATAATTAATAGGAGCGAATCAAAAGATATGCGTTTCGGAGTGTGACTTTCGGAATACGATGCGCAGCACAGCATACCATAGCGCAAATCGACGACAGGGAAAAGGCGGTCGCATGAAAAACAAAGTTAAAAAAAGGTTTCAAATTGCTTGAGTTATGGCGTGCCGTGTACCTGAGGGTGGGTCCTACGTAATTTTTTTGGACTCGAACATCGAACATCGAA